CATCATTATTATTTAGTTTTTGTGGACGTTTTGATACTGTACAAGATAATGATGTTGAATGATTAGTTAAATTTGTTTGTGAATTAATTAATGTTGAATTAGTAGTTAGAGGATTTGAATTAATTATTGATGTTATCGGAGAAGGTGATGATGGATAATTTCCATCAATATTTGTTTGATTTGTACATTCATCAAATGTTTCAGTAAATGTACCTTTAGTAAATAAATAAAATTTTGAAAAATAAATAAAAAAATATAAATAACAAACCCTTCTCTCGATTTAATTTTTCTTTTTCAACTTCTTGTTGAACTTCAATTGGCAATGCTTGATTAATTAATTGAACATATGATTCATTTATTTTTTTTACATCACGTTGTTTTCTCTATTGAAATTAAAACAAAAAAATTCTATTTCAATCAATTTTTTATAATTTAAATTTTTTCTTTTACCAATCTCCATTTATAAGCAAGGTAAGTTTTAAAACCAAATCCTAATGTCACCATTGGATAACCAATACTAAAAATTTAACAGCAAAAAAAAAATTCTTAAAAAGAAAATAAAAACATGAAAATATTCATTACCAATGAGCGGCAAATGGTCGGCACAGATCAATAGTTTTAATTTCACGTAATCGTACTGATGCTTCAAGCCAAACAAACAACACCCACAGAACAACAGTACCCAAACAGATACCACGTTCTATGAAATGAAAAATAAAACTTATCGATATTCTTAGGGTTTTAAAAACAAAAAATTAACCTGTTTGCCAAACATATTGTATCCATACATAGCTACTTGCAGCAAAAAATAGCCATTGAATAGGTAATAATATATAACAAATGAGATCGGCTATGAATGCAATAAGTACAAAGAATAATGAGAAAAGCTAAAATAATAAAGTAAAATTTTGGATATGATCGAAGACATCATTAATTAAATAGATGTTTTTTTTTTCTTTACCAATCCTTGATATTTAAATGAATCATAAATACTTCGTAAAACAAGCCAAAATGGCCAAAGAAATTCAAAACGAAATTCAAGTAGATAATCAGCTGCCATTATAATACCCCAAATACAAATAAATTTGAGATATACTAATGCACTAAGATATATATATATATGTAGAAATATAGAATCATATAATTAAGAAAATATCTTTTTCTTTTTTCATTTAGTTACCTTCCATAAATACCCTCAGTAAGACGAGAGCGTCGAATAGATTTCCTTATTTTTATACTGTCCAAATTTGTTCGTCGTTTCATTATTGTAGCTCAGCACAAGAGATAATATTGTCATAGACTAAAACTAAAATAAAACAAAATAGGAAAGAATATTATTTTGTAATTGAATGGCATTAAGAATTTTTTAGAAATACTGATGGATAGATCGCAACAGAGCAGAATGAAAAAGAGGACATAAATGTGAGCTCTGTGGCTCTATATTTTGACGAAAGAGTTAGCGTATATTTATTGTCAGCAGATGTCACTAAAGAACAGAACCAAAGAAAGTTAAGTTCTTAAATACGTCTATTTCTTCTGTTGTTTTTTGCCTGAAATTATGAAGATCAACGTTAAAATACTTCAAATGACTATGTTTATAAAAGTTGAAAGATAAACAATCGATCTAAATTTAAAATAAGAAACGCCTTACTTTTAACAAAGCATCACTAGAATCAATTGCGCATTCATATTATTTTAGAAGAGTTTGAAAAAATATCACGCGCTCGTAAAATATTTACTTAGAGCTGTGTGAATCATCAAACGCATTCAATAAGTTTTTATTTTTTTGATTGTGATTCAATTCTTTGAGATTTAATAAATAATGATCAAGGATTTTTTCCCCACATTTCATCATTTAGTTCTAAATTAAACTGTTAAAAAGACATAATTCATTACAAAACAAAACTCGAGGTATTTAATCCTTGAATTACTCTAAAAGCAGTAGTATACACTCATTGAATGAATGTTATCATTCGTCAAAATGTAACAATATCAATAGTGCACTTGATAAATTGGATGCTATATATTGGGAAATAAGAGAATCAAGTTAGGTTTGCACAGAAAAAGACAATCATCAAATCTTGACATATTTTCATCGTCCTACAGTATATAGAAGCTTCTTAACAATTTTCATTCACTCAGTAATACTATACCATTTGTCACTTCTAGGATAAAGCAGTTCACAGTCAATCTAGATGTCTTTGAGATATTAAAAAATATGTTCCGAAATCTAGAGTTATGTTTGTGAAAGCACTATCTAAAAATGAATTACAAATATGCAGTTGATTAAAAGTTCAAGAACGCATATGATACCTTTTATGAGCATTGCAACGACAAAAACCACATGTACGGAAGTCAAACTATTCTATAGAAAATGTTTGAACAATAAAGATCATTACAGACATATATTGTGGTTAGCAACAGCTTGGACTGACATTAGCTTGTGAGAGAAAGTATATAACTATTTACATGAACGTCCTATCTGATATTGATCGAAATCAATTGTAAACTGTGAACAAAGCTTATCAAATTATCCAGAATATTCTAATACAGTCCAATGTCTCTATCATAAATCAGACTTTAAAAAATCGAACAGTTTTGACATGTTTACGTCTTCATACAAGGCAAAAGTAAACTCTTCAACACTCTCAATAGCTCTTTTTCAATTAGTTATTTGCTTGTTACGATGCTTATGTTACATAGAATGCAGTATACAAGATATTCTTGATCATACCTACATAAGTGATTCATAAAGTTTTCTTTCGACAATTATATATAAGCTCTTGTCTTCTCCTATGATCAGTGTTTCTATTATCATGTCTTTAACGTCTATAATGAGAGCACCTTGTAAATTTTACTATAGAATTACGAGAAAAGTAGCGTGTTTCAACATTAACACGTTCACACCGATTCTCAGAGATGCAACAAATCTCTAGTAGATTTGGGGTTTGAGACTAAATCTTTGAGATTTAGATCAGTGACGTAGCAAGGAATTTTTCAAGGGTGCTACCCACACATTATGAAGAATGCACATCAGCAGCAAAATAAATATTTGTTTCTTAAAAAGACTTTATACTCGTACTCCCCCTCCAGATACTTTTTGACCAAGGGAGTGCCCAGGTACCTTGTGATCTCCCTGGCCATGCACCTGATTTAGATTTGGATTTGGTTTCTGAAATTTGGAACTCGGTCTAGGTGTGCTTCTAGACTTAGATTTTGTTTGACTTTGTCTTGCAACTATCGTTTGGATATGGAATTTGAGACTTGGACTAGGATTTAAGTTTACGGTTAGGATTTGTGTCTTAGACTCACATGACCCCAACTTTGAAGTTATGTTAAAATAAACCGTATTCGAACTCCAAATTGAAATCCCTAATCTAGATCTATATCAAACTCAAACTGTTTCATATAAATTTTGACGGCTTAGAATTCGTCTCTCTTTTGGTACTTTACCTTACAAAGTCTCATCAGATTTGAGTAATTTAAGACCAAATTCAAACCCATACTCAAGTCTAAATTAAACCCAAAGCTTGCTGCACCAAATGCCAAGGCTTTAGATTTGTTGTATCCCTGTCTAGATCCACACCCACATCCCATGTGAAAAGTTTTCAGATGTTAATTTCTCAGAGTAAAAATAGAATCGAGGAAAAAGTGAGAAATCCCATTTTTTTAGATATATGTGGTAATCATATTTCTGTAAAAATACGCCGTGGGTCAGAATCCTTTTAGGATTTTCTTATTCTCACTAAGTCATACTCATTGCCAAAGTATGGGCTCAAACAGCGTCCGACAGTTGGGGATGTTCTCTCGTTAATTTATGCATTGACACACCATGCGACAATACCAAAAGATGAAGAGCCTAGCAATAATTGCATGTGT